AAGATGACTATCAATTGAGTTACGAGTTTTGGCCGACACTTAATGAGGGAAAACAGTCGACACATAGACAACATTCGTTGCATAAGTTTATCCGAACCATTCAGGACTCGTTCTTTCCGCCTATTCTACACATTCCAGTCATTAAATTATTGAAGTCTTTGGCCACGAGTTCGGCCTTCAATGTCTTCAATCTCATCAAAAGCCCGACTCTTCACTTGAGTTCTCAGTTCTCTATGGATTACTTCAACACAACTCTCCTTCAATTCTTTAACACTGTTCGCGGCTCTGATAATAAAGAGCGAGTGAACGCCAGCGCAAGCACTTTCGGCTTATCTAACATTCATGTAGTACTGCCCGGACAGCAACGGTTCGCTTCTGGTATTGAATCGGAGATCATATGCGCTATCATTGAGTTGATTGAAGTGATTGTCACAAACGTATGGCATTTTATCATTAGTATTATTACTTTGTTTCTAATTGCTATCCATTATCTTATAGGATAAGACATGTTGTTTAGCCATTGCTGAGAATCTTCACTATTCGATAATCACATCTTTGGTGGGAATACTGAGATGTGCTGTTCCTAAAGAGCTAAAGGCAGCCATTTTGAACTGTTTATCCGGATTTGCTTTATCTTCATCTTCGGTTTCGATTATGATTTGGTCTAAAATTGACGGAATTTTACCCAAGTTTATGCCTACTGTAACCTCCGGAGTGCCAATCGATCCGTTATCTCAGCACCGGTTGTGGCAAAACGGAATCGGCATTGAAATCGAAGAGATTGAGGCCAAGAATGAAGAATATCCGATAACTATAGGCTTTGCGAGACTTATGAAATCACTATTCATTCACTTCGACTCCAATCAATCACAACAACAGTCTTCGGCCGATGTGTGCCTTAATTTCGTCATTAATTCTATTCTTCTTAAAACCAATGCAAGAGTTTTTAAATCCGAAGATCAGAAATGGATTATAAATTCCATTTGTTATGAAATTCTTCAGACAGTGATTGAGAACTACGAGCCGTCAGTGGAAGGACCCAACTCTAAGACGGCTTTCAGTATCTTCTCGCAGACACTGCAAGAGAGCGGACTTTTTAGGCAAATATTGTATACATTGGAAGAAATTGCCGACACTTTTGATAAACAGATGCTTTCTGTGAGCTTTGAGAGCGAAACTAGTTTTCCTAAACTTATAGAAAACTGTGCTCTCAATGGACTCAGGATTTTGAAATTGATTTGCGAGAAACAGAACGACTTCATTGATATGGTTCACGAGATACCGGGCTTTCCATTGGCTATAATCGCCAAATTCGATGTACTCTTCAATAACGTGAACCCGAGAACCGGTGCCATCGATAGACTATCCACTCTAATACGGCTCATATATCTGCCGACGCGGGCGTCCATTGAAACGCTAAAACTGTTGAACAGTCTCTGCAAAAGCAATCTCGAAGTCTCCCACTTATGTCTAA